TCCCAGTACAACGAGGCTGAGTACTGGGCCTCTTCCGCCTTCGGTTGGTGAGAAACTAACAAACAACACTACCTCTATCGCAGCTTCTTCTAAACCCACAACACCATCAATATCATCTCCCTCCATGCCATCCATACCAGCAACTGTTACATCTCCCCTACCGGATGCAGACACTCGAGAGGAGGATGTCCATCCTCCCCAGTCCTCTAACCACGGGAATTTGGGGCACAACTACTCGCCCCCTTCTGCAGATATCTAGGGGAGAAGGAGTCTCTCTTTCTCGGTGTCTACAGAGTGCTATTTTTTGTCCATGCCGGTGGAACTCGCCAATTATCTGAAGCCGCTGGCTTCGGAGAAAGATAATAAGAAAATACAATCTCTTTCGGGGTGTATGATAAATAACGCCATGTACAACGCAACATCGATATTGTACTTGCTCTTTTTCCTACTTGTTTCTTCTTGACTTGTTATGACAGGATTTCTAACTCTGGTATTTGCTTCACCGGCCAACTTCCTTGCTTCCTAAGGCCTTCAGAAATTGATCCTCGATGAAGAGGGACTCAAGTCCGAGCGGGATCAACTGTTGGCCAATAGGATCAACTTGGCGTGCGCCTCCCGATATTATAAGCGAAAGCCACTGAGGCGAGTGATAGAGGCCCGGCTACAGCTTAATGAGCAGGAGGTAGTGCCTGGCCAAGAAGCTTCTCCAATAGACGCTCAATTCCAAGAAGTTAAAGGCTAAGTGGTCTGAAGTTCAAGATGTTGTGATTATTTAATGACCTGACCAGTCTTTTTAAGCTTTAAGGTTCTGTTTAGTAGTTCGAGGTCTTGAGTAGCTTCATATTGTGTGTTATGACTTGCGTGCATGCTCATATTTGATTTTTCGGATGATTATGAATTTTGATGAGTGGTTCTCACTTTAGAAGCTTAAGTTAAAAATATTGACCGAGGTTTGTATCATGATTTTGGACTTGGGCATATGCGTGGAATCAATTTTGGAGGTCCGTAGGTTGATTTGTGTTGTTTTACCGAAAGTTGGAAATTTAAAGGATGATAAGTTTGACCATTGGTTGACTTTCTAGCTATCGTGTTTGGATTTCTGTTTCAGGACTGGGAATAGGTCTGTTACGTCATTTGGAACTTGTCCACAATGTTTGGCATTATTCCAAATTGGTTGATCGGAATCGGATGCGCGATTGTGTTCTTAGAAGTTTTTGAATTTCATGTTGATTTCATGTGCTTTCGAAATCCGATTCATGGTTTTGGATGTTATTTTGATGATTTGATCGCACGAGTGAGTTCGTTTTATATTTTTAGACTTGTGTTGCTGTTTGGTTTGGAGCCTCGGGGACTCAGGTGAGTTTCGGGTGCATTTTGGTATGTTTGGAAGAGTTTTGAAAATTTTCTTATGTTATCAGGTATTGCTGGTCTCACATTTACGAGATATATGTCGAATTTGCGATATTAGTCTAAGCCTTCTAGCTTCGCATTTGTGAGCCCAGAGTTCACATTTGCAAAGGCTCTTGAGCTGGGACAGTTCTGCATTTGCGATCAAGGGTCACTTTTGCGACATGTCCAAAGTTAGCATTTGCGAACAAATCATTGCATTTGCGATGACAACAGGGATGTGAGTTTCTTCACTTTTGCGATTGGTTGCTCGCATTTGGGAGGTTCGAATTTGCAAACCCTGTTGGTTCCCCAAGTACATGCAAATAGACGTGGTCGTCAAGTAACAAAGTGACTCAAAAATCGGATGTCGAACCCACAGAGACTTAGATTGATCGTTAACTAAGCAAACTAAAATCAATTAATTGTCCAAGATATTTAAGAGTGATATTTTTCTATTAATCCACTATTGCGGAAATTAAACAAGAAACAACCAAATTATCAAGAATGCAAATGTGTATGACGAGATTTTACTTCAGATGAGATAAAAATTCCAGGGTTGTGGTTGGTTTATCAATCCTATTAAGTTCAATAGTCACACTCATTAATCCAGATTATCTATGGTTGCTAATTAACCGGATCGTTTATATGAATTGCATGTTCCCACAATACTACTCGTCTGCCCACAATATATCAATCCTATATTCCTATGGTATTGAGTCTATCATGAACGAATGTTATACGGTATTCAATTAAGCAAGGCTATTAGGTATATTCCTATCCTAACCGCGAAATTGTTTCCCGAGCCACAGGTTCAGAAACAAGCTCTCTCTAATTCTACTCTAATCTAAACATGGATTTCCAAAGCATAACATACATAGTAGGGTGAATTGGTAGCTACAACAATTCACAAGTTAAAACTAGAATTAAAGAAACAACCACAAGAGATAATCCGAATTAACGACGATGTAATTAATAAATGTTAATAATCATGTCAACCACAACCCTAGAACTAGAGCGCTTAGCCATTCATGTTCGTAGTAACAAAATTCCAAGTATTTTGCATAAACAAATTTCAAAGAAAAGATAAAGGAATGAAGAACTCTGTGATTTTCTCCTCCAAAAGTTGTTCCATGTGATGTTCTTGCCTCCAGTCGCAAAACTCCCTTAAAAATGGTGCTTAATGACTATTTATATGTGTAAGGAAGAAACCAAATGAAATAACCAAGTCCAAAACCAAATAGGAGACGAAATAGGCTTTTTAAATCCGGAAACCCCTCGCTGCAGACCTTGCCTCGCGACCTCTATATATAGCGCGCTCTACCTCGCATCAGGCCTTGCCTCGCCAGCTCTGTAGCGCGCCTCTTCTCACGATAAGCCTGGAGGTACACGCTCTATCGCGACCAAAATACCCTGCCTCGCCTGCATTGTAGCGACAAATAAAGCTCGCGTCGCCTGTTTCGTTCTTCGATTCAATTTGCTGCTTCGTTGCCTAACTTTCGCTGCTGCATTCTTCATTTTTAATTTTATCCTTCTTTTTGTTTCACGTTTTTGTCTTCTTTTTCTTAGTTTTCAATTCTTTACATTGCTCTTTCTTTTTCTGTTTTGGTCTTCTTTTTGATTTGCCTCTTTAGTCTTCCCATACAAAGTTAAATACCCCTTATTAAATAATCATAACTTCATTCTTGTTGTGTATAAAATACACATAAAATCTGTACTTTGCTCCCATTTTCGTCTTCAATGTACCTACATATAAAATAAACTCAATTAAGCACAAATATAATATAGTTTGGCATTAAAGCCCCTAAATGCATGGTAAGTAATGCGCTAAAAATATATAATTGTAGCCAAACATCACTACCCTACACTTAAACGTTGCTCGTCCTCGAGCAATCAAACTACACTATATATAGACACGACATTTTTCAATAATTCTTCTAACTCATCGCACCAAGAATCTTTAAAATAGACTAAGCACAAGAGTGTAACATCTTCACCGCAAGATTTGACTCACAAGTACCATGCATTATTCACAACTCACTCACTTACTCTAACATAGATGTCAATGACATTGCCTTTCCCTCATGAATCAAGTGCCCTCACACAACAAAAGAGAGTAGTTCCACATACACTAAAATTTAAGAACAATTAGGAACTCAAAATAGAAAGAATTCACTCACTCTAAAAAATAACAATCATATGCCACAAAAGATGCACCATTGGCTTTCCCGTAGTGTAATACTCTACTAATCGAGCTCATTCAATCTAGGATCAAGTAGGACTTTAATTGGTTGTAATGTAGGCTGCGGTCGGGTAGGATATATTTGGATATAAGAGTGACTACACCTCCCTAAGCATTTTAATACATATATTTTAACATTCAAACCCATACTTATGTCAAACCATACTCCACCTTCACATCAATGTATATTAACTCCATACTTTTTTAAACTCAATTACATAAAGAGTCACCACTATTAAGTAATATCTTTCACAGCAATACAACTAATTTTTTTTATTTTTATTTTTCAATTCAAGTAGCTCTTACTTTTTCAAAACAGTGCACCTTTCTCCTTATTTCATTAGTTCCACTCAAAAGTCAAACCAAGCACTCCACACTTTAACTTTTATAAAGTTCATAACAATTCAAGTGTTCATGAGAGGTGAAAAGGTTCAAATAGATGGTTAATTAAAAAAAATGGGTAATGCTTGTAATGTGGTGGCCAAAGAACAGGATTACAGGCTCAAAGGGGTTAACTACGACACATAACAATTAGGCGGGTAAAATATATATGTCTGGCTCAACAAAGAAACGCCTATATCACTTCCAAGACTGAACAAAACTAGTATTTCGCTTTGCAAACACACGGGGCAAGTTCTAGACATCCAATGCAATGCACAGAATTACACAGAAACCTCAACCACACATGGCACATAACTCACTCAGGATTAGACTCATCAAGACACTCTAGTCAAAGCAGTTAAGCAAAGTTAAGATTATACGATTTAAGGTACTCATACAAGAGTCAAAAATTGAACCTAAGCGTCACAACAAAAGTACTCACTATTCTCAAGGGATAACAAAATAAAGAGATATTGCTTCAATTCAATTCATATCACAATGGCTCCTACTCCTAAAAAAATAAAACTAACTACACCTGATTCAAGCAAAACCCTTGGAAAAGAACCGCAGCACAAAAAAAAAAACAAGGGGGAATTACTACATTACCTACAAAGAAAATTTTTTGTCCTTTTTCTTTAGACTTAAATCCCTCAAGAAAACTGTCTCTGAGATCCATCGTCGGGAAAAGTCCAATTTTTCTACTTTTTATTTTTATTTTTATTTTTCTCATAGCTAGTAAAATACTACATAATAACGAAAACAAAAATAAGAAGTTAACAATTTTCTAACATACTAATGCTAATTATTTGGAGAATTCTCCCACCCCACACTTAAAAGAGTGCAGTTTCCCCAATGCACAAATAAAGCAAAATAATAACAAGGGTGAACAAGAATCTCCCTGAAAGGCCAAAGGCCGAAGCAATGGCAGCTCACGGGATACTCAGTCTTCCTCCAGGCATGGTCCTTTCTGTGGGAACCCCACACTTAGTTCTCACCATATAACTCGCTTTTGCACTCTTCCAATGGCTTTGCCTCCTTTGCTTATAATCCTACAAAACAAAAACAAACACTATAACAATAATAAGAAAAAAATAGAAATAAAAGAAACCAGTAAAGATGGGTTGCCTCCCAACAAGAGCCTGATTTAACGTCGCGGCATGACATAGAATCTCGTCTAATCATTGGCAAGTAACACCTTCAGCTTCTGACGATCAAAGTCACCCCCATAATAGTGCTTTACTCTTTGTCCGTTCACTAAGAACGTTCTCTCGCCAACTAAGACGCACATCTCAATTGCACCATGTGGAGTGACTCTTACTACCTCAAACGAGCCCGACCATCTCGATTTGAGCTTCCCCGGAAAGAGTCTCAACCTCGAGTTGAAAAAGAGAACCAACTGGCCCAGTTCGAACTCGCGATGCTGAATATGCTTATCATGCTAGCGCTTGGTCTTTTCTTTATATAACTTGGCATTCTCATACGCATGCAAGAGAAACTCATAAAGCTCACTCAATTGCATCAACCGCTTTTCACCCGCTATGTCTGTATCAAAATTCATCTTCTTTATAGCGCAATAGGCTTTGTGATCAAGTTCCACCGGTAAATGACATTCTTTCCCATAAAACAGCTTGTAAGGGGAGGTTCCGATTGGAGTTTTGTAGGCAGTCTGGTATGCCCATAGAGAATCATCAAGCTTTGCAGCCCAATCTTTCCTACTTGCACTAACCGTCTTCTCCAGGATCTGCTTTATCTATCTATTTGAGACTTCAACTTGCCCACTAGTCTGAGGATGGTAAGTGGTTGCAACTTTACGTTTGACCCCATATTGCGCTAAGACATTGTCCAAGAGCTTGTTACAGAAATGGGTGCTCCCATCACTTATCATCACTCTCGTAGTGCCGAATCTTGTAAAGATATGCTTTTTCACAAACTTGAACACAACCTTGGCATCATTGGTAGGAAGAGATATGGCCTCCACCCACTTTGACACATAGTCAACGGCCACCAAAATGTACTTACACCCACTGGACGAGGGGAACGGACCCATAAAATCAATTCCCGAAACATCAAAAAATTCAACCTCCACAATACCGTGCAATGGCATCCCATGCCTTTTCGTAATTGTTCTTGTTCTCTGGTATCACAACTCCTCACGAACTCATGGGTGTCTTTGAACACACTAGGCCAATAGAAACCCGATTGCAATACCTTAGCTGTTGTTTTGTCACCCACACGATGACCACCATAAGGCGATGCATGGCATTCATGTAAGATAGCATTTATTTCACATTCTGGCACACACCTTCTCTTTAATTGATCAATGTAAGATTTGAACAAGAATGGGTCATCCCACACATATGACCTCACATCTCGCAAGAACTTCTTTTTAGCATAAGGTTCAAGATCAGGCGACATCTATCCACTTGCCAGATAGTTCAAAAAATCAGCGTACCATAACACCTCCCCAGCAGTAGTGGCCAACAATTGCTCATCCGAGAATGTTTCCTTGATGACATCTCCCTTAGCTACATGATTCCAAGTTTCTAACCAGGACAAGTGATCAGCCACTTGATTTTCTGTTCCTTTACGGTCTTGGATCTCCAAGACAAATTCCTGCAAGAGTAAAACCCAATGTATTAGCCTTGGTTTAGTATATTTCTTTTCAAATAAATACCTGATGGATGCATGGTCTGAGTAGACGATGACTTTGGTGCCAACCAAATAGGCCCGATATTATCGAACGCCCACACTACAGCAAGCAACTCTTTTTTTGTCACAGTATAATTTATTTGAGCGGGAGTGAGAGTCTCGCTTGCGTAGTAAATGGAGTGATATAATTTGCTCCTCATCTGGCCCAAAAAGACCCCAATTGCACTATCACTGGCGTCACACGTCAGCTCAAATGGCTCGTTCCAGTAAGGAGCCATTATGATTGGTGCACTCACTATCTTCTTTTTCAGCTCCTCGAATGCTTTCAGACAAGCATCGTCAAACTTGAACGACACATCCTTCTCTAACAACCTGCACAAAGGAGAGGAAATATTTGAGAAATCTTTTATAAAGCGGCTCTAAAAACCTGCATGTCCCAGAAAACTCCTAACTCCTTTTACTGAAATCGGAGGTGGCAACTTTTCAATTGCTTTTACCTTAGCCTTGTCAACTTCCAGTCCATCTTTGCACACCTTGTGTCCTAGCACTATACCTTCACTTACCATAAAATGGCACTTTTCCCAATTCGATCCACATTAGTCTCCTCACACCTGACAAGCACTTTAGCAATATTGGTTAAACATTCATCAAAAGAAGGACCAAACACAGAAAAAGCATCCATAAAAACCTCCACAAACTATTTCACCATATCGGTGACAATTCATACACCTTTGAAAAGTAGCAGGTGGCTTACACAACCCGAATGGAATTCTCTTAAATGCACAAGTGCCAAAAGGGCATGTAAAAGTGGCCTTTTTTTGATCTTCCGGGGCAATAGCAATCTGATTATACCCCGAATAACCATCAAGGAAAGAATAGTATTCCTGTCCGGCTAACCTGTCAAGCATCTGATCATTGAAGGGGAGAGGGAAGTGATCTTTTCCTGTAGCATTATTCAACTTCCTATAGTCTATGAATATTCGCCAACCAGTCATAGTCCTAGTTGGTATTAATTCATTTTGTTCATTTACTACAACAGTCATACACCCCCCCCCTTTTAGGCACACATTGAACAGGGTTACCGACTCCATGAGTATTTTGTCCATGTAGAATAGAGGGCTAATACCTTTTATGTCAGACATCGTCCAACCAATGGCATGTTTGTGCTCCCTCAGCACCCTTAAGAACTTTTCCTCCTGCAATTCAAACAAATGAGAAGAAACAATCACAGAAAAGTGTTAGAATTTCCTAAATATGCATAATGAAAATGAGATGGTAAGGGTTTAATTTCCAATTTTGGAGTCCTCCTCAACTAAGGGTTTAGGACATGGGCTGATTGGCTTATCTAAAGGCTCAAATTGGGATCTTTCTCTTATGTATTCGAACGATGCATACAGAATTGGCAACATCTCCTCAACCTCTTCTTCAAGTTCCAAGTGATTGAACAACGTCAATGCCTTTTCTAGTGCATCTTGTTTAAACGCCCTTGGCTCTACAGATAGTTCATCTATCTCCACCACCAAAATCATGGCCAGGTCCTCGTAATGACGAGGCAACTGAATGGCTCGATATACATTGAAGACTGCTTCTTCGTTGTCCACCCGCAGGATCATCTTAGCTTCTCGAACTTTGGTAATTGCATCTCCAGCGGTCTAAAGAGGTCGTCCCAAGATGATATGAACCAACTCATCTTCCACGTTCTAGGATGATGAAATCTGCAAGAAAAATAAATTTCCCAATCTGGAGCAAGACGTCCTCATTTACCCCCTCAGGATAAACATAGGATCTATCAGCTAACTGTAACATCACCGTGGTGGGTCTCGGAGCTTCTAAGCCCAATTGTTTGAACATTGACAACGGCATCGGATTGATACTTGCACCCAAATCACACAAGGCTCTACCCACATCAAATTCACCAATCCTCACGGGGATGGTAAAACTACCCGGCTCCTTAAGCTTTTGTGGAAGCTTATGTTGAACCCTGGAAGTGCACTCCTCAGTAAGTGCTACGGTCTCAAACTCAGTTAACCTCCTTTTATTTGCCACTATGTTAATAATATATTTTGCATATTTTGGGACCTCACGGAGCATGTCCACCAAAGGGATGTTCAAATGTATCTGCTTCAGCATATCTAGGAATTTGTGAAACATGTGGCAATCATTCTTCTTTCTCAATCTTTGAGGAAAAGGGGTTGCCTCCTCTCTGATTTTTGCTCAAACTTTGTTTTGTTTCTCTTATCTACCTCTACAGGTTTTGGCACTCTTTCTTCTTCGAGCCCAGATTTCTCCTTTTTCTTCTAAGGAACTTCTACCAACTCTCTCCCATTTCTCAAAGTCATTGCATTGACTTGAGGATTTTTTTCTGTATCACTTGGAAGAGCTCCAGCAGGTCTAATATTCTGATTCTTAGCCATTTGCCTAAAATGCCTCTCTAGATTTCTGAATTTTGTGCGCAATTGTTGATTGTCTATCAAGAACTTTTTCATCATGTCAGTCAAACTCTCTTCTGCTTGATGTGGAGGTTGAGGTGGACAATTATAATTCTCTTGAGACCTGATATTATGATTTCCACCCCAAGAGAAGTTAGGATGATTCCTCTAGTTAGGATTATATGTGTTACCATACTGAGCATTTTGATTCATCGGCCCTCTAGCTTGTTGCCCCACGTAGTAGATGGATTCAGGATTCACGAGGCATATGTCACTTATGTGGCCTTCACCACATAACTCGCAGCAAGTAGACATTTTTTACACATGCTGCATCTGCTGTTCTTGGTCCATTGTCATTTTATTCATCTGATTCGCTAATCTCACTATATTTTCCCTCATTGCTGAGAAATCATCAAGCTCGATCACACCTGCTGCCTTTTGTTTAAGTGCTCTCCATGGTTCCCCATCTCCTTGCCAATTATTATCATTAGCAGTGAAATTGTTTAGCATGATCTGGATCTCACTATACGGTCTTGCCATGCAACTACCCCCACATGCTGAGTCAAGATTCATCATTGATGCCTCGTCCAACCCATCAACGAAAGTGTGACCCAACACCTCATCAGTCTGACAATGGTGTGTGCAGTCTCTGAGTAGCCTTTTCTGTCTTTTCCAAGCTTTTCGAAGAGTCTCGCCATCTCGTTGTTGAAACTCAAGAATCTGGCTCCTCGGTGACTTTGTCTTCTTTGTGGGAAAAAACTTGATTAAAAATTTCCTTGCTAGATCATCCCAATTGTGGATTGAGTTCGCGGGCTTCTTTTGCAACCATTCCTTAGCTTCCCCCAGCAGTGAAAAAGGAAACAATGTCAGCCTGACATAATCCTTGGAAACCTTTGGATAATTGTAAGTGTGTAATTTCCAGGAAATTCTTAATATGTGTCAAGACACAACTTCCCCTCCGTTGGGTATCGTGATGGCACCTAGTCTTAAGGACTAGGTAAGCCTAACATTTACTGAATATCAACAATATTAAAGAAAGTCTAACAGCCTCGATATAGAGAACTTTACAAAATTTACAATTTTCCAAAAACCGGCATTACAAGTCATAAGCTCTACATAGTTGCTAGAAAACCTCTATAGTACAATAGTCTCGAAATAAGAGTGAATAGTGTAAATACAAAATAAGAAGGTGACTCTGAAGCCTGTGAATGCAGCAGCAAGTTTACCTTGAGTCTCCACAGTAATAGTCCGCACAGCTACTAACGAGCAATTACCTGGATCTGTACAAAAATGTACAGAAGTATAGTATGAGCACACCACTGCGGTGCCTAGTAAGTATCAAGACTAACCTCGGTGAAGTAGTGACGAGGAACAGTCAAGACACCACTAGTCTAATAAATTGAACAAGTACAAGTAGAGGAACAACAGTGCATGATTTCTACATGAAAACTACGCAATATGACTAACAATACAGTAATTACAATAAGAAAGGGGGAAAACGACAAGTACCAGTGGAATACAATAATAATGACACAGAAGAGTGAGCAAAGACACAACCTAAATCCGAAACCACAGGTACAACAAAGACAAATAGTAACTCAACAACTACGACAGCTTTCACATTTGATTTTAGTCAACAACCTTCACAAAGTATCGAACCTCGGATAAATTACAACTCACGAGCCTCAATACCTGAACCCTGATACTTGGCATCAGGTGCCCTCATCAAACCTCATAATCATGCTGACAACTCACGTGCCAAATAGAGCCACTCTCATATAGGAGGCAAGTAAACAAGGGTGTGCACCTATACTCAAAAACATCAAGAAAACCTCTTATAAGATAAGGGTGCTTAGCTACGTGCATGCTTGTGCAAGTGTCCTAACATAGTTCATACCAGCTAATAAGCTTAAGGAAAAAAAACGGACAGCACATCGAATGTTTACACAGCAATAGAATCAATGAAAGGCAACAGCTCAGAATATAGTGATAACAACAGGGGATCTCCCAGGATACCGTCCCGTAATCCCAAACGTAAATGTGCAAAGGGATCTCCCGGGAATACCGTTTTGTAGACCCAAAGTATATATATAGTGTTGGGGGATCTTCCGGAATACCATTCCGTAGTCCCAAAGTAAATATGCAGTACAGGGGGATCTCCCGGAATACCGTTCCGTAGTCCCAAAGTAAATATGCAGCTCAACCAACAGAGATAACAGTTATAGCATGGCAGAAACCTCGTGCATCACCACAACAAGTACAACAACAACAATGGCAATAATACAAAGTACGGCAAGTAAATCAACTCAAGAACTTTAAATCACAAAGAAACGATAG